GTGAGTGATGTGGATTGTTGTTTTAATCTTGGGAGAGTGCTAAAACCGTAGCGGCCAGCAGTACCTGGGGAATAGGTAATTATTATTTTAGTGGGGAAAAGTTCAACTCATGGGGAGGAAAGGCTGATGGAAGGCCTTTAGAACTGCAAGTAATTTGATCCTAGGAAGGGGTAGATAGGCTCAGTTCATTGGATCACGCACCTCTCAACAGCATCCTCAAACATTTCAGAAAGATGCAATTGATGGGAGGGTAACATCAGTTACTTGGATCAAGAACACTTTACCAGCATCAAGCTGGTACTGTCCCAGGGTAGTAACTCTCTGACTCGCTGGAGATAAGTGCTATAAAATACGGACACAGTGGAAAAACAGACTCAAATGCAGTATAATGCAATCCTTTATTGACTACTTTTCGCCCACAGACTGGGCTTTATCAAGTCATAAAAGAATCTACCTGACAAGAGAATACATAATATTTTGGGTGCATAGTGACGTGGAGAGTCAGGTAAGGAATGTTGAGATGGTTGGATTTGAAATGGACGGATGGGTTTGTTGTTATGAAGGGTAACGTTGAGGAAGTTTCCTGACAAGGAGATCAGCTATGTTGTACAAGCCGTTGTCTTGGTTGAGACTGTTAGATATAGTGTCTTCTTCCCTGGTGATGAGTCTTGCGTCTCTATAGTCGATTACATAGTTGTAGAAGTTTCATTGTTCGTTCTGCCTGCGTACTGGTGTTCTGAAATACGTATTTGGAGGTCTATGGATGTCTCAACCACGTATAATTGATTGCAGTTGTTGCAAGGGATTATGTATATATCTGCAGATGATTGAAACTTGTTGTGTCTCTTACTGGTGATGTTTTAGATGGTGGGGTTATGGAGGTAGATACTTGGAATGACGCCTTAGAAAAGATGTTGGATGTGTTTGGAAACGGAGTTTGTTGGGAGGACTATGTATCTTCTTTCGACGCCATCTTGTCTGGGTGAGTTGAAGATGTTATATGCCCTGTGTCTGCAGTCTATAATGAAGTGTCGAGGATAGTGAAATATCGTTGTTCCTCGAGGAAGTCGTTATTTTAGAGTAGGAGGGCAAGTAGGAAGTAGCCTATGATTACACCACGTCTAGTTTTGGTGTCTTGGTGAAAGTAGCATTGGAGAAGATCGTGTTGGTTGGTAGGTGTTCGGTAGACTTTAAAACGAAGTTTGTGGTCAGCTTTGCAGAAAAGAACTTCAATGAAAAGAAGAGTGTCATCGACGTCTTCTAGTGTAAACTGGAGTGAGAGCTTGTATCGAACTGTGTGTCGGGTTTACATGTTTCCCTTTTGAAATTTATCTTTTTCAACAGACTTATGGACTGTCCATGGGTTCCTCACTTTGTGTTGCGCTGGCGAACTTATACATGAAACATCTAGATTTTCCTCTATTATTTCCACTTCAGTCACCTGGCTCTGTTACACTGACGACATTCTCATCGTAACCCCCAGATGCTTCAGCGTTCCTGCTCTCCAACACTACCTCAGACAGTTCGAGTCCTCAGTTTAGCTCACACTAGAAGTCGACAACACTCTTCCTTTCCTTGATATTCTCTGCAAAGCTGACCACGAACTTCCTTTTAAAGTCAATCGATAACCTATCAACCGGGAGGATCTTCTCCTCCGCTACTATCACCACGACACTAAACGTGGTGTGTTCATAGGCTTCCTCTTGCCCCCCGAATATGCAGCAATGAATTCCTTGAGGAAGAATATACCCTCTCATCGAACAGGTATTTTCTGAACTTTATTATCCTCGTCACTTCATTACAGACTGCAAACACCGTGCAAATAGCATCTTCAATTCACCCAACAACTCCACTACCAAGCACGTATCCAACATCTTTTCCAGTACAGCATTCCTAGTATCTACCTTCACATTCACCACCATCAGAAACATCGCCAGTAAGAGACACAACAAGGTTCAATCCTCTGAAGAGGTATACATAATCCCTTGCAACGACAGTAACCATTTATAAATGGTCGAGACATCAAGAGACCTCCAAACACGTATTTTAGAACACCACTAGGAAAGCACAATGGGCAACTTCAGTCAAACACGTATTTTAGAACACCACTAGGAAAGCACAATGGGCAACTTCAGTCAAACACGTATTTTAGAACACCACTAGGAAAGCACAATGAACAACTTCAGTCAAACACGTATTTTAGAACACCACTAGGAAAACACAATGAACAACTTCAGTCAAACACGTATTTTAGAACACCACTAGGAAAGCACAATGAACAACTTCAGTCAAACACGTATTTTAGAACACCACTAGGAAAACACAATGAACAACTTCAGTCAAACACGTATTTTAAAACACCACTAGGAAAACACAATGAACAACTTCAGTCAAACACGTATTTTAGAACACCACTAGGAAAACACAATGAACAACTTCAGTCAAACTTGTGTCTTACACCAAAACTTACACAACCATTTAAGTAACTACAGAGATGCAAGATTCATCACTAGAAAAGACTCAGTATCGCAGAATCTTGGAACTATCACTCATCTATATATGTAATAATTTCAGTCAGAACAACGGTTTTTACAACATAGTTGAAATTCCTGCCAGGAAACTTCTTCATTATTATCTTACATAACAACCAACCTATTTACACATCCCGTACAGGTTTGTCTCAAATCCAACCTTATTATTCTCCAAATATATATATATATATATATATAATAAAATTATAAATTATATATATATATATATATATAAAATATATAAATATATATATATATATAATATATATAAAATGCAATAATATATGCTAAACAACCACTGTGAAAGAATAGAGAATTTCCCAAGCGCTTTCGTGACTACTCACATTATCCAGGAACAACAAAGTAATGCATAAAAGGGAAAGGGCATATAAGGGTCTAGCCCACAACTCACTATCACATCCCACAACAAAGCAACACCTGATGCGCGACTCATAAGAAAGGGAACACTGCGTAGGCCCGCTGGCCCAACTAGACAGGTCCTTCACACAACCCACCAACAAACTATTCACCAAGAATTAAGAATTTTAAAATTTATTAATTGTCCAATGTATTATTAAATTCTTCCCAAATTCTATTAATTATAAATGGATCTAATTTATATAAACCAAAAGGGAAAAATTCATATTATTGTCAAAACTGCTTTTTATGAAACAAGATTCAAATTATATTCCTGTCGACCATGGACTTGCTTGATACAACTTTCTCAACTTTTTGAAAATCAATTGGATGGTTTAAAAAACTCTCACAGGGAAAAATAGAGCATTGGAACCCTTGCCCCAGTTCAAAAAGCAAAAATTTATTTTGTTTTAATCTTATTCGAGATTTTAAACCATTTTAAACCGTAATAAACTTTTATCGCAAATTTTAAAAGGGAAAATTTAAAGACCCCATCCCCCCAGCTTTTGGGGGGGAATTCTTTATAAAAATTTTTTTTTTTACTGAAAAAACCCAAGGGAATTTTTAAATATAACTTTATAAAATATTTATATATAAATAATAAATATATATATAAAAAGATATATATATATAATATAAAATAATATATAATTTTTTTAATATATTAATATATATATTATAAATAGAAAGTATTTAGGTTGGTAACAGCAACCACCCAGGGAAGTACTACAGTCCGCCAGATGACTGTGAAAAAAAAACCCTTTAATTTTTTTGCATGATGGTAGGTTTGCTTTTTTCTTTTTCGTCTCATAAACACCTAAGAAAACAGGGATATTTTCCCCTACTCCTACAAACCTTTTTGGGGTTCACATTTTCACAGACACCCACACATATATATAAACATACATCTGGGTTTTTCCCCCCTTTTTCTAATGCTCTTTTTTCTTTTTATTTTTCTATTGTCCAGGGGGAAAGGGGAAAAGAATTTTTTCCTCCGAACCCCAAGGCTTTGTCGTATGATCCAAAACTAAAATCCGGGGAGAAATGGGTTTAGTAACCCCTTCTTTTTTAATACAATTACAAAAAAAGAGAAAAGAAAAATTTATAAAACGGGGTTTTGGTTTAAATGTGGTGGATGTAGTGGGGATGACAAAAACAGATAAATTTGCAATGTTAGAATGAAAAAAGTTGGATGTCCGGCCCTAAGCGAAAAAAAGGGCTGAAGGGGGGGTGGGAGATTTTTCAGGGGGGGGAAAATAATGGGTTAAATTTTGGAGTATCTAGAAGTTAGGCAAAGGAAGGGGTAGCAGTAATGAAAAAATTTTTAAAAAACTTTTTAAGGAAGGAGAAATGGAGAATAGAATGTTTTAAAATTCAAGAATTATGGGGATTAAAGAAAAGGTTGGTGCGAGAAGTGGGTCTTTAAAACGTGTAGGGCACCTGGAGAAGAGAGGAATGCAGAGGGAGAGAGAGTTTTTGGGAGATGTTAAGTGAATGTAAGGACCCTTTGAACCATGAGAGAGAAAATTTGTGGTAGGGGACTTGAAGCTAAATGGGAAAATTTTTAGGAGGGTGGGGGAAAGGAAATTTTGGGGGTGCCGGTTAAATAAAAAAGGGAGCCCTTTGATTGAATTTTGTATAGAAAGGGTTTTTAGTTAAAAGGAAATACAAAAAATTAAGAAAAAAGGGGAAAAATAATTATACACGATATGATGTAGGGCGAAATGAAAAGTAGTTTTTTGGGATTATGAAAATTGGGTAAAAAAGACGTTAGTAGACTTCAGGATGTACATGTTTATAGAGGGCCACAGAATATATTCATTTTCTATTGTAGCAACACTGAGAGTAAAAGGAAGATGGAAAAAAAGGGAGAATAAAAAGCATCAGGGAAAGAGAGGGTGAAGGTTTATAAACAAAAAAGAGGGGCAGTTGGGGTAAGATATAAACAGCTTTGGGGATAATGGGCAAAAGAGAGCATAGGCAAGGGGGTCGAAGAAAAGGGGGTTTTTTTTTTAAAAAATTTTAGGGGAAGAGGTTCAGCAGAATTTTGGG